AACTGAACAACAGTGTAAGGATAATGAAAGAAAAACTGTCAGTATTCTCATCGGTGTGGAAACCACTTTCAAGAAATGCAAGGTCAAAACCAGGATTTAAGGAATGGACTTACAAGATCGGTTGCTTTCACACATTTGAATATTGGAAGGCTTTAGTTTTAGTGTAAGTCCTGCTGCTTTGAGTGCGTGAAGCACTGCTGAACTCCAGCACAGCACTGCACGCTGCTTCTTGACTCGCTGAGTCACATTTGAAATACTCCCACTTACGGAGAATTAATTGCAGTGGCAGAGCTCCGTCCTGCTGGGGTTTCCTGTGCACGTGGAGTTCACCACAGTTAATTCACTGCTGGGTTCACCACAGTTAATTCACTGCTGGGTTCGCTGCAGTTAATTCACTGATGAGGGACTTGTGCAGTGCTGCTTCTATAGTTGGATGTCTCTTGGTGTCACTTATGAGCAATGAAAAGCTTCATCAAGCTGGGAATCCTGGTGTTGGAGGAGTTAATTTACTGTTTAGTGTTGGTTTAGTACCTCCATAGTGTGAGCTCTAGCAGAACTAGGGTATTAAAAGCCTTTAAAGCTGTACTGGGGGAGTGGAGCATCTCCTCCTGAGGAGCGGCTGAGGGAGCTGGGGCTCTTGAGCTTGGAGCAGAGGAGACTGAGGGGTGCCCTCATTCCTGGGGATCCATTGGGAAAGGGCAGTGTCAGGAGGAAGGAGCCAGGCTCTGCTCTGGGATGGCCAATGCCAGGACAAGGGGCAATGGTCCCAAGCTGGAGCACAGGAGGTTCCAGCTGAAGATGAGGCCAAAGTTTGTGAGTGTGAGGGTTCTGGAGCATGGCCCAGGCTGCCCAGAGAGGTTGTGGAGTCTCCTTGTGTGGAGACACCCAAAGCCCTGGCCGTGTTCCTGTGTGACTGCTCTGGTGATCCTGCTGTGGCAGGGGTTGCACTGGGGGAGCTTTCCAGGGCCCTTCCAACTCCTCACATTCTGTGACTCTGTGATTTGGCTTAGTGTTGTGCTTTTTATCTTTACTACTCACTGTTTCCCATGTGGCTTATCTTCTGAAACAAAACCAGGTTGCGTGACTTGGAAGGCATTAACAAATCTCTGAAGTACTACAAAGACACCTACAATTCCTTGGACACGTGGATTCAACAAGTGGAAGACACTCAGCGAAAGATGCAAGAAACCCATCCAGAGAACAGCAAAGCGCTGGCCAAGCAGCTGAACCAGCACAGGGTACGGAAGGGCTCTCATTGCAGGGTGGCACTGCTGTAGTGACTGGAGAATTAAAATACCTCTGTAACCAGTGGTGGCAGTCTCATTTCTTGATGTGAGCTGCTTATAGCCCTCGGCCCTTACTATAAAATTCCAAATCATCACCAGCTTTTATGGGTTTATGTTTATAATGCAGCTAACATCATGAATATATCACTGGTTATTGCCATTTTATATACCAGATTGGTTTGTTTTTCAGATTTGCAAGATCAAAACCTTAGAGCTTAAAATTCTGGACTCACTTTACCACATCATTTTCAATTCAGTACTGCCCTTGGTGTTTATGGGTATTCATTGAGCTAAACTCAACGCAGTCTCTGCAAGAGTGAAATGCAACTTAAGTAAGAGACAGAATAACAAATTCTATGCGTGAAATGATGTATTCCAGATTTCATTTAAAGTTCACTCTTCGTTATTCAATCTGGCAGGGCTTCTTCATTACTCCTGACAAAGCCCAGGACATTGGCTTGGGCAGATGAGTACTTGTGCACGCATGGAAATGAGCCTGTTGTGTACATTTATGATGTTAGATAAAGTAGAAACGCTCGCAATGATAGTCATAAAAATGACTCTTTCAGATGAAAATGTAGATTTGTATTTTACAGATGCTGGTGTCCGAGATTGAAATGAAGCAAAGCAAAATAGATGAATGCCAGAAGTACTCAGAACAGTATTCAGCTGCTGTGAAGGTGAGACATCACGTTATAAACCCTTTCTCGGTAGTGTCAGCACCACGTGGTGTGCCAAGCACTGAGTTTTCTCTTTTCACAGGACTACGAGTTGCAGACCATGACCTACAGAGCTATGGTGGACTCCCAGCAGAAGTCCCCGGTGAAGCGCCGCAGGATGCAGAGCTCATCAGACTTCATTATTCAGGAGGTAAATGGGTTTCTTAGGTCAGGAAAACACAGATTTTGAGTCCTTGCTTAAAACAGGGTAAGCACAAATGGGGTTTAGGGTTTTTTAATGATGCAATAGGGTAACCCAAGCAAGATTATATTTTTTCTATATAGATCTGTGCTGTGATAAATACCCTATTGGTCATTCTGCAGTATTTAGATGTTGAGACGATCTCCTGCTGATGGCATCCAACTTTGGGATCAAAATTAGGACTTTGGATTCCACAGTGGGGATTTTGGAGCCCCAGCTGGGATAGGCTGTGGAGCACCGTTTCTCATTCTCTGCAGGTTAATGGTGGTGCTCTCTTCTCTCTCCCCTCCCCTGCTGTTGCCCTGCAGTTCATGGATTTACGGACCCGTTACACCGCCCTGGTGACGCTGATGACGCAGTACATTAAGTTTGCAGGGGACTCTCTGAAAAGGCTGGAGGAGGAGGAGGTGAGTCTTCCCCTGGCGCACAGAGAGCCAGGCAAACAGGGCAACATTTCTGCTGGGGTTACTCACCACGTGAGCAGATGTGAAAGGCTAAAACACCTTCAATACTGCACCTCATACAGGGATGTAGGAGTGTTCAGTTACACCATTGCCATTCAGATCAGCAAAGTCCTATACCATCCATACATTGTACAGTTCTTCCAGCTAGAAGGGTCGTATGGTTGCTAAATTCTGATGGGGATGTAGTTACATGTGGTATGTTTTAATACTGCAGTATTTCAGGGCTTAATCTTTTGGATAAATGCAGATATTAAGAGGAGGGCAGACTTAGTGTGCGTGCATCGGTGATACCCTGTGTAGGCCTTAATATTCCAGTGTATGCATTCTTGATCACAACATATACAGGAGTTCTTTGCACAGGGAGATGTGGTGCTCTCCCAAATCAGTTCCTGAAGTTTCTTTGACGTGTTCAGATTTATTTCTTCCTGCCTCTCCACTGTATCGATTCCCTGGGGTCAGACAGAACGTTATTTCTGCTTAGTGCTGCATCATCTTAACAAGAAGTTACTGAAATTGAGCAGTCAGATCAGTCAGAGTACGGGTTTGCTGCAGAATCAGCCTTCCAAGTAACTGAGAAGACAACACCTTGAAATTTTTTGGAGATATTTCTCTCTGCAAGAGATTGTACGGTCATTCTTTAAAGACTACAGTGCTTTAGTACAATCTATACAGTGCCTATCTCTAAAATAATGCCCACATTAAATGAAGTCCTATGTGATTTACATAAAATTGGCTAACACTCTCGTAAGGGTGCACATTTTAATGTGATTATTACAGAAGAAAAACCCCAAGTCCTTAAATGAACGTTGCACAATTCAGGTGCTGGCTTTGTCTTTGCATCGTGGAGTGGTGGAGCACATTGGGTGGAAGTAGATAATGTTGGGAAATACAGCTGAGGGTTTCAGTGACTGCTGATGCTAAAGGTATGGAGGATAACAGAGCAAGAGTTGGTAGGAGGATGAGGAGGGCAGTGAATGCTCCACCTGCCGCAGCGCAGGAGCAAAGGGAATCGTTCGGACTCCTTTGGGTTTCGGTCTGCGCTGTCTCCAGGGCTGCTCTGTGGAAATCAAATCCCCTCCTCTCCCATCTCCTCCACCTCCTGGGAGCTCTCTGGACCTTTGGTGGCTTCTTTGAAGATAACCCAAGGAGATTTCTAGTCTCAGAGTGATTTGATGGGGTTTTTCTTTGCAATCAGGGTAGCAGATCAGACTGTGAATTAATCCTTTTCAAAGGGGGAATGGTGATTTTTTTCTTCTGAGATCAAACATCTGAAGGCTGTGATAGTTCCAAGATTTTCTTCCGTGCCGATCTTTCCTCCTCACTCTCAGTAGTGGCATTAAGAATGCACAGAATAAGGAAAATACCAAGCTCCTTTCCGTGATTTCTCGGTTTAACCCGTGTGCTGTCGTGCTCAGAGCTTGCCAGAGGAGAGAGCAGTCCCGCAGCCCCTGGAGTCAGCTGAAGCCTTTCACCACCGCTTGGGATGGGATGGAGCTGTTGGGTTCAGAGAGGAGAACGCACCCAGTGAAAACACCACGGCTGAGGAGGATCTGCAAAAAGAGAGCTCTTCCCGTAAATCCCGACACACAGCAGACACACGGGGAATCCACAGGAGAAAATCAGATGTAGATGGAGACGATGACATCCAGACTGATAGGGCATTAAAGCAATTCTCAGATTTCAGTGGTCAAGAAAGGAGCTTTAGTGCCAACAGGGGAAATAAGCTACGTACAGAGCGAGAGAATGTGATGGGTTTTGGTAACCAAAATGAAGAAGAAAATGGTAGAAGAGACAGTTATGATTCAGTTGAGATCAGTGTGAGAGTGAATAACGATCCTGGTGAAACATTAAATGAGCAGGTTGTTAAGACAACCTTGTTACAGACAACCACAGGAAAACGTGGTCCAGGGAGGGCAGGGAGTGATGCTCCAGTGGAGAAAGGCTGTGAAACACAACCAGAAGCTGAACAGAGAGGTGAAGTCGCTCCAAAATCTGGGATGTGTGTCCTGGGTGTCAGCCCTGAGCAGCAGCACTTCCCACCAGGGACTCCTGTTGGGTGTCGGTGTAAAGAGCACGGCTTTGCAGTGAGTTATGGCTGTAAGGATGGCCAGGAGCCTGCACACGCTGCAGGGCTTCAGGTGTGCGATGGAGACAGCGGTGCTCATTCAGCTGTAAAGGATACACCACCTGTAGAGGAGGTCGTGTCCTCTTTCAGGGACATCGGAGGGGACAAAACAGCATTAACTTTGGGAGGTGGTGCTGGAAGCAGTGCAGACACACAGCACAGAGCATCTCCGGATGAAGGGCACTTCAGAGCAGACAGCCAGGTCCTAGAAAAATCCAGTTTAAATCCAGGTGAAGCCAAGAGCACAGCACAAGAAATTCTGGGTGTTTCTTCAGGCAGCGATGTGGGGAAGTGGTGTGCAGCAAAAGGCTCTGGTTTTTATCCATTAGGTGTGGAAGTGCAGAATGATCCATGTTTAGGTACAGAGCTGCTAGGAAATGCTGGTGGTTTAAATGCAGCTACAGCCCTCTCAGAAGTTATTTCTGGGGGAAAGGTTTGTTTTCCATTGTCAGAACATGGATCAGCAAAACTTTTGAGTCACGAGGAGAACATAAGCGAGAAGAAAATACCACAGGGTGAAGTGTATGGTTTGGATAGGATAGATACGGGCTGGAGGGAGTGGAGTGGAGAGGACAAGGTGGAACAGGGCCAGAAATGCAGGGGTTCGTTGCTGGTTACAGAAGTGGACAGCAGAGGTAAGGGCCATAGCACAGAAGTACCTGGGAAAAACCCTGAGCTCCAGAAAACGGGGGAAGAAGCCTCACCTGGGAAAGAGACTGGAAACAAAAGAGACAGCGGTAACGAAGAGACAAGGAGCACGGCTGTTAATGAGGTACCAGCTGTTAATGAGGTACCAGCTTTTAACGAGGTACCAGCTGTTAATGAGGTACCGGTGTTCTCGTGCAGTGCAAATCAAGCGGCTGATTTGAGGATGATCCCAGACCAATCCAAATCAACATCCAGATCCCAAAATATCTCAAGGTCAAGTGATTTAAAGCTGATTGAACATAATTTAAACAACGAATATGCTAATGATGTCTTAATTACTGTGCGTTGGGGACGCTTACATTTTTTTTTTTAAGTTCCTATGAAATTCTTTTTGTGTATTTTGTATTACTGTTTAATCGCCAGCCTTTTCTCCACCCAGCTGATGCTCAGCCGCGTTGATTAGAAATAATGAGAGTTAACAGGATGTAGGTCGCGAATGAATCTGTATTTTTAGTTCTTTATCAAGCACAATACATCAGATTTTGTGTCTGTGGGAGCGTAAAAGCAGGTCTGTTAAGGAGCCAAGTGAAGTGTTTTGGGTCCATTGGGGTGTGTTTAAAATTGGGGCACGGGGAAATGCAGAGAAGAACTGAAGGAGCTGCCTTTGCATTAGCCCTTTAGGAAATCAGTGCCATATAGCATGTGAAAAATCCTGGAAATCCGCTGAATTTGAGCTAAACCAGCACTTTGTTCGTTTGAAACGGTTGCTGTAATGACCCTTCGTGCCGTGTCCGTGCGATCATAGGAGCATAGGTGTGTTCTGACCTCACGCTGGGTAAATGAGGCCACGAAGACAAGGTACGTACGGTTTCAGCCACGTGGTTCCTGGTGACCGCACATCTTGCTCCTGAGAGTTGCCCTTGGTCTGCCAGCGTACGACACCAGTAACCAACTGGTTTTCACGAGGACGTTCCCAGTTTCCGTGTGTCTTCTCTGACTGCGTCCGCGCCGCGTTGGGGCTGTGCTCGTACGCGTCCCCAGCGTGGGGCCGGGGGAGCCGATGCAGCGTGGACGTGGGGGGCTCAGACACTGCTCCTTCTGAGGCTGCTGCACCTTGGCTCTGGCTCGAGACACCGTTTCTCATCTTGGAGGGCGTTTCCACACTTCTCCTGTGTTATTTGCTGAACTGATCCGGAAATGTTGGGCCACTTTCTCCTTGCACATGGTGTTTGCCTCACTGTTTGCTCTGCCCCTTTCTTTGAGAAGAGCAGACGTGAGCTGCTGTTTGACGCTGCTTGCTAAGAGGCGTCTGACTGAAGTGAGAGGCTTCAGGACTTCCTCGCTTTGTGGATGCCTTTGTGGAGGGTTTCATATCTGGCTAATGGTGCTTGCTGGAGCTTTCTGTATCGAGAGGAGCTGATGGTGGTGGGAGCTGCTCATCCTGCTTTCTGGACGTGCCCTGTGTGCATGAGTAAGTATTTCCCGTTCTGCTTTTCAAAGAGCCTAACGTGTTTCATGTGTTGTATTACAAAAAGCACATCCCAACTCCTCTCGTTCTCTTACAGGCGTTAAAGAGCAAGGAAGCGTCGGTGCGTGAGGCGTATTCGGATTTAATGGCTCGGCAAAACAGCACGGTTGATGAGAACAGAAAGCTCATGGGAAGGGTAAAGACTCTTGAGGAGATGTTGGAGGACGTGAAGAAACAAAAACTTAAAGCGGAACAGGAGCTCCCAAAGGTGAGGGCGGCTGCAGAAAAGGAGCTGAAGCAGCAGCAGAGGGACATGGACGAGATTTGTCTTCAGAAGAGCAGGGCTGAGCAGGAGGCCAGGCAGTGCCGAGTGGATCTGGAGAGCGTCGAGAAGGAGAAGGCAGACGCAGAGCAGGAGCTGGAGCGTGTGAGGCAGCGCATTTCCCAGGCCGAGAGCCAAAGAAGTATCCTGGAGGAAAACCTCCGTGCTTTTCGGATTCAAATAGAAGAAAGCACCTTTACCAGGAGAAGCCTTGAGGAGCACCTGAGAAGAAAAGATACCAATCTTCACGATTTAGAGCAACAAAAAAAGGCCTTAATGCAGGAGCTGGAGAAAAAAACGGAAGGAGAGGAGAAACTGATGAAACTGGTCAAGCAAATGGAGCAAGACCTTGAATTTCAGGGGAATCTATCAGAAATAAAGCTGCTAGGAAAAGAGCAAAGTGCTGCCAGAAGGCAGGTGGTTGAGGGCAGGTACTGTGTAACCACAGACACTTCCACGGCTGGGCAGGACAGGACCGGGTCCGAAATGACGAGTTTCCAGAGGAAACAAGACACCAAAAAAGTAGAAGAGCTTAAACAGAAGGTGGATGAGCTGACCCTGGCCAACAAAAAGGCTGATAAAGCTATCAAGGACCTGAAATATGAACTGAATGAAGTCGAGCTTCAGAAATCATCATCAGAGGAAAAGTCTCGTTTGTTAAAAGAAAAGCTGGATAAGGTCAACAGTGAACTTAAATGCCTGAAAATTAAGTTGGAGGAGAAAGACCAGGCAGAGCAGGGGTATTTGCAGCAGCTGAAGGAGCTGGACAAGCAGCTGCTGAGAACCACGGGCAAAGCTGAAGAGGTAATGCAGGAAGCGATGGATCTCAAGAAAATCAAGATGAGCTATCAGGAGGAGCTGGAAAGGACACAGCTGAGAAGGGAGGTAGAGGAGTTAACTCGATCCCAGACTAAAACCGAAATCACTGTCAAACATTTACATGCACAGATCAGCTCTCTTCAGAAGGAGAAGCTGGCAGCTGAGCAGAGAACGCAGTCGTGCAAAGGAGAAGCAAATCACCTCCAGGACCAGTACAAGAAAATTCAGGAACAGTTGCTTCAGAAGACAAAAATAGAGGCAGAAAGCCATCAGGAGATCCAGATGCTGAGGAGCGAGTTAGCCAAAAGTAATCAGGTGTCAGAAACACTGCAACGAAAGATAGAGGACCTCAATAAGTGGAATACGGAAACAAAACTGGTGATGAAGCGAGTTCAGTCTGAATCGGAGAAGATGGCTTTGGAAAAACAGAGCATCCAGAGGAAAAACGATGCGTTAAAGGCCCTGGCAGACGGTTTCAAAGAGCAGCTGCGTACAACCAACGAGCAGTTGCACAAGCAGACAATAATAGAGCAAGAATTCATGTGTAAAATCAAAAGCCTGGAAGTTGAGCTGGCCAAGACAAAAGAGCTGGCCAGTGAATACAGACAGAAATACGAGAAGCAGAGCGCTTCCACCCTGACCATTGACCAGGAGGTGAAAAGTCTGAGCGCGCAAACGAACGCTCTGACGATGGAAAAGCGAGCGAACGAGCAGAAGTTACAGCTGCAGCAAGCTCACGTACAAGAGCTGAGTAGTAAGTTAAAAAAGCTGCAGGACGAGCTCCATCAGAAGACTCTGGACGAGCAAACGGCACGCAAGAAGATGGTCCTGTTCCAGGAGGAGTCCATTAAGTTTAAACACTCGGCGGAGGAGTTCAGGAAAAAGGTGGAGAAGTTACTGGAGTCCCACAGCACGACAGAAAAGGACATTTCTGGCGTAAAGCTGGAATGCGTCGCTCTGCAGCAAGAGAAGCAGCTGGCCGAGGAAAACATGATGCTGTACAAGGTGCAGGTGGAAGAGCTGCAGGAGAGGCTGCGGGTGTGCCAGGAGCAGCTGCAGCAGGGTACGCAGGCGGAGCTGGACCGCCAGCAGCGGTGCCGGAGGCTGGAGGAGGAGCTGGAGGCGCAGAAGCGCGCGGTTGAGAGCTTGAGGCTGAGGTTGGAGCTGCAGGGCAATGAGAGCGACCACCAGCCCCTCATGTTTGTTCAGCAGAACGGTAACCTGCAAGATTCGGGCTTGAAATGGAGCTGCGAGAGAGCAGGGAGCGATTTCCATTACCTGAGCGGCACCGCAGCCAGGGAATTTGAGCGGCTTCCTCCGCACGCAAAGCCTGGCTCCCCTCTGCTGAGGCAGAAACAGGAGAGGTCGGGTTTGAAATCCGATCAGATAGAGGAAAGCAGAGTCTATGTGAGCGCTGACGACGTGGTGCCCAGGGAGCTGCAGTTCCAGATGTCGGCCGTAAACCAGGCGCTGGAAGAAGATGCGAGGCCGCAGTCCTTCACCGAGTTTGTGTCTCAGATGAGTACCCAGTTCCAGATAACTTTTGACAAGGCGAGCCAGATTTCGGGGACCTCGGAAAGGGACACGTTGATAAACAGGAACCTGCACAGCTCCAGACAAAACGTTAGGCACGGGGAAGACGTGAAGCACGAGTTGGGAGCGGTAAAACTGCATCCCCTGGAGGTACACGCTGCGTTTTGTGAGGGTTTTCTTTCCTAGCGCTGGGTTTGCTGTTCTAATTTTTGGCTTGTTTGGGTTTTTAGTTACGCTTTGTCACTGTCCTGTATTCTTGTGTCCTTGCCTTGGTGAAGGGAACCCCTTCGTGACACGAAAAGCTTTTCATTAGACCTTTGTAGCAGGCTTGTTAACATCCGAGAAACGCATTATTTTAAAAATTTGTATTGGAAGTAGGAATTCTCACGCATAATCGTATCATTATTGGTCAAAATAAGCTTTGGCTAACGGCACCAAGTTCCTACAGCTACAAACAGCAGTTCTTGTTGCTTAGTCTAGGCGTGTTCCTGTTATTAATAAATGCCTGAAGTGGCAATGCACTTTCAACTCTGCTGTCTGTGTTTCTCTGCTCTCGGTGCTCGTAGCAAGTTCTCCTTTCTGACCTGGATCCAGGTTCTCCCTCTCGTTTGGTGGTGGTGGATGATGCAGGGCTCTGCAGGTCCGTTGCTCACCGTGTCCAACAATTCCCGTTGCAGATAGTGAAGAACATGCGGGTTGAAGTCACCGCGCTCAACCAAGAACACGACAAGACTTTCGGTCACGAGGAGAGACTTTTTGAGGGATACAAAGCATCCGAGGGGTTTAGGAGAGAAGACTTTGCAAAGATGAGCTCTGTGGTAGGGGAAGAGATGTTCAGAGCAGTTGACGATGCTGCCCAGGTGGAGCATTTCACAGAGGAATACGACAACATTAAATTCCGAGGTCTCCGACGCGATGTCTCTGCCAGGCAGTTGGCCGAAGTGAGGCTTTTAGACAGGCCCACCGTGGAGCAGCTCATTTCAGGGCAGAAAACCCTTGAGGAGGTTCAGAAAAGCCTGGACAGGTTTCTAACTAAGCCTACGGCTGTGGCTGGGCTGTACCTCGAGTCCAGCAAGGAAATCCTCTCCTTTGCTTCAGCAGCCAAGAGAAGACTCATAGGCAAAGCGCTGGCGTTGGCATTTTTAGAGGCCCAAGCAGCCACCGGCTTCATCATCGACCCCAGCACGGGGCAGACGGTGTCTGTGGATGAGTCGCTTGGTAGAGGGCTGGTGGATAACGAGTTCAGGAGCAGGCTGCTGGAGGCAGAGAAAGCCGTGCTGGGATACCGCTGCTCCGGGAAGCTGCTCTCTGTGTACCAGGCTATGGACGCTCGGCTTTTGGACAGGCAGAAGGGGAAGAACATCCTCGAGGCTCAGATTGCGAGTGGAGGGGTCATCGATCCCGTAAGGAGCGTTCGTGTGCCCCCGGAAACCGCCGTGCAGCTCGGCTTGGTCAATAACACCATCCTGAAGTTCCTGCATGAGCCTTCGAGTAACGCCAAGTGTTTCCACAATCCGAACAGCAGGAAAGAGATGTACTACTGCGACTTGCTGAAATTGTGCGTGTTCAGCCTGAGCAGTCAATGCTTTCTGCTTCCAGTTGGGGAAAGGAAAATAAGCAGCCCCTCGGCAGAGAAAAGCCATAAGATTTCTGTAGTAGATGTCGGAACAGGAGCTGAGATGACTTCCTATGAGGCTTACAAAAAAAATTGTGTTGATAGAGCTACGTATCTTGAGCTTTCAGAACAGGAATTCGACTGGAAGGAGTCGACGTGTTTCGACTCCGATGGGAATTCTTTCCTTTTGCTCACGGATCTTAAAACCGGTGTACAGCTGAATATCGAGGAGGCCTTAAATCAGGGTAGAATCAGCAGAGCGTTAGTGAATACCTATAAGGAGGGCTTAATCACAGCTAACGAGTTTGGTGATATTTTAGTGAGCAGTTCGCAGCCAAAGAAAGACGTGAACAGCCCTATAGCAGGGTTCTGGCTCTCTGAAACCAATCAGAGAATCACAGTCCTAAAAGCCTCGCGCAAAAACTTGGTGGACAGAGTTACCGCCCTTCGCTGTCTCGAGGCGCAGGTCAGCACAGGGGGCATCATCGATCCCTTCACTGGGAAGAGGTACAGCGTTTCGGAGGCTTTGCGGAGGGAGTTGATCGATGAGGGCTGCGCCAGGCAGGTTCGGCAGTGTGAACTGGTCTTTACTGGACCAGCAGCAGCGGTCGAAGGCGTGCACGTGAGTAACGCAGACAGAGAAATGGGGCTGCGCTGCCTGGAGTACCAGCACTTGACGGGTGGGCTGGTAGACCCAACGACTCGCTCCAGGTTGACGATGGAAGACGCCATTAAGAGCGGTGTCGTTGACGCTGTCACGGCTACGAAGATGCAAGATGAGAAATCGTACGTTAGAGTCATAACGTGCCCCAAAACGAAGAAGAAGCTGACGTACAAAGAAGCTTTAGAGAGAGCAGTTTTTGACTGCCACACTGGGCTGCGGTTGTTAGAAGCTGCTCAGCCCCTGAAAACAGGAATTTCCAGTCTTTACTACAGTTCATAGTGAAACAAGGATGGTGGGGGCTCCTTTTGGGGCTGCTTTGAACCCGTTCGAGACAAGGAAAAGATCCGTGATGGCCTTTATGGAAAATCTTAAATGGCGTTTACTGACGTGATCACGAGTTGCTGTGAAACTCATTAGACCAGCAGAGTTTGGTCCCATCCTGACCCCTTGAGATGTTGATGAGCATCGATGAGACCCCTTGAGATATTGATGAGATCAA